AATTTAGGTATTTCATGGAACAAAGACCCGCTAGACCACCTAGAAACTTATAGATCTTTAATGATGCTCCGCAATGTGCCAGACTAAATAATATGTTAAGCTTTTGCCACCACACTCAAGGGAACCGCGAGGCACTAGTTCAACAAGCTGAAGTCGAACACCATTAGCACATTTTGAGAACTAAGTACTTTTTTTATCTTAATTTTTATCGGGGGTTGCTCATCAATGTCCCACAACCTATCTCCTCAATGTCAAGCAAGCCAGGGGAGAAACATTATGAGAGTATGTCAATTGCTTTACTGCATAATCCTTATAAAATGACAATATCGATGATAAGGCAGCTTTGACAGCCTTTATGAGTGGGTTTAAGTCTTTTTAGTTTCTATTTGCCCTCTTCAAAGAGCCACCTTCATCCATGGTTGAGCTCTTAGCAAGTGCCCAGAGCTACATGAACACCGAAGATACCATCTTAGCTTGTAGAAATCAAGACGACGGGTAGGAAGATCGATGGGAGGACAAGAGGATACAAGATCTGCCAAACAGGAAGGAAATGGAGAGTAGCTCAAAGAAGAATCGTTCTGAGAGAGTTAGTGCAAGGGATTGTTTAGGACCTCACACCCCCAATGACCCAGCTCAAAAATATACTCCATTGAACACTTCCGTTCAGTAGATCTTCTATCAGATTCAAGATGATAGGATTCTCAAATGGCTTGGGAAGATAAAGTCTCATCCCAACAAGAGGTCTAGAGACAAATACTTCCATTTCCACAGAGACGACGATCATAATACGAAAGATTGTCAAGTCCTAAAGAACCAAATAGAAGATCTGGTCCAAAAATGTTATCTCGAGAAGTACATAGAACGCCGAAAATAAGAGAGGAACAATGTTCAATTCTACCGAGTGGAGTTCCAGCATCAACAACTGGTTGGAGAAGTGACAGTGATCTTTGGAGGTTTTGTAGGAGGTAGAGAAAGTAGCTCTACTAGGCAGGCCCACGTTCGAAGAATAAAATCCTAGTTGGAGGTGAGTTCGGTAAATCCAGGGAATAGACCATGAGTGGATCTTCTAATTACCTTGTTAGAGGAGGATTTTGTTGGTGTTCAACACTCATATGATGATCCACTAGTGGCCACCTCAATAATTGAAAATTATTTTGTGAAGAGAGATAGTGGGAGTTCAGCATACATCATATTCGCTCCAGTCTTCGAAAAGCTAAATATTGGCAGAGAGAGGCTGACTCCGATAACTATTCCACTCATCGAATTCTCAGGGGAAAAAGCTCACCCCATAGGATTCATCATTATACTAGTCACAATCGGACTGGCATCGCGATAGACCACTATAATGACGAATTTTCTGGTCCTAAACTGTCTGTCAGCATATAATGTCATCTTGGCCCAACCAAGCTTCAATTCCATGAGGGCGGTCCCATCAATGTATCATCTCCTCATGAGGTTCCCAAACAAGGAAAGAGTTTGGGAGTGCATGGAGATCAGGTTGCAGCCCGTGAGTGCTATATATCCTCTATGAGGGGAAGGAAACAACAATAAACTTTTCAAGCTGACTATCTAGATCATAGAGAAGAACTGGAATGTCCGCGGCCAGTAGAAGACCTAGAACCTATCTTTATTGGAGACTCTCCCAAACAAGTTACTTTTCATTGGGAGGATGCTCGAGGACTTCATTGATATAGTTCCTTAACTCCAATAGGTATGTCTTTGCCTAGAGACAATCTAATATGAGCAGGATTAATCTCGTTGTAATTGTGCATAAGATGAATGTCACTCCAAGCTTTAAACCAATCTAACAAAAGAAACATAACTTCACCCCAGAGCAAAATCATGCGATAAAGGAGGAAGTAGCCAAGTCTTGGATTCCAAGTCGATCAAGGAATTAGAGTGCCCACTATGGTTAGCCAATGTGGTGTTGGTAAAAAAGACAAATGAGAAGTGGCGACTCTGTGTAGATTTTATCAATCTAAACAAGGCATGCTCAAAGGACTACTTCCCACTTTCGAGAATCGACATTATGGTTGATGCCGCTGTAGGGTACAAGTTGCTATCTTTTATGAACGCATTCTCATGACACAACCAGATCATAATGCATGAATTAAATCATGAACATACCTTTTTTATAACATAAGAGGGGACCTACTATTATAAGGTCATGTCATTTGGACTAAAGAATGCAAGGGCCACTTACCAGAGATTGGTGAACCACAAAAGACCTCATTCGCCATTCAATGGAGGTATATGTCGACGATATGCTCGTCAAAAACCTTCAAGCTTTGGAGCACATCAAGAATTTAAAGAAGACCTTTGACACCCTCCAGAGGTACAACATGAAGCTGAATCCAGCTAAGTGTGCATTCGGTGTGTCCTCTAAAAAATTCTTGGGGCTCATGGTGACCAAAGGGGTATAGAGGCGAACCTAAAAAAAATCTAGGCACTCGTGGATATAAGGTCTCCACAAAACATTAAAGAGGTCCAAGTGCTAATAGGAAGAGTAGTAGCCTTGAACAGGTTTATCTCCAAAGCAAGTGACAAGTGTCTTCCTTTCTTTAAAATACTCAGGAAGGCCTTCAAAAGGACTTTGGACTGTGAAGATGTATTTCGAGCACTCAAGAAGTACATCAACAAGCCACAGATTTTGGAAAGGCCAGTGGAAGTGAAATTGGAATATATGGCTCCAACCTATGTGTTCCAGGTCAAAGAATCGTGATGAAGTAGGAAAGAAAAAAGGATTAGGGCAAAGAGGCAAGGGAATGCCATAATTTCAGAAGCTCTCAAAGATAGCTAGAAAAAAAAAAGAGCTCTTATACACTGAGCCCACAATGGTTCTTTGGCAGTTGCGTGCACGAAGCAAATGATTCCACTCCTATTAATGGGCAAGTGTAATTAATGCACAGAGTGTGCCTTCCACTGGTTTGAACTAGGGGACAACTGATAGAGATATAATCAACCCTAAGGCAACTATGTAAGTGGTTGGGCACATGATGAAGATAGCCACAAGGTGAACACGTGAGTTAGAACACCAAATTTGGCATGAACTATGATCCAAACCGTATATTAGCTTGCTTGCCCATATCTCACAATAATAGCTCAAACTAATTTTAAATATTTTGGGATAGAGGTTCCACTTTCCTTGCCGTCTCATTCAAAAGGTAGTTTAAAAGCTTCAACGGTAACAAGAGCTCAACCTATAAAGGAGATAAGCTATAAATAATCTCTCCTAGCTCAATCCCAACTAATCCTCTTCATCTTTACTGACTTAATCATCGCACGATCGGTCACCAGGGTCTCTCCGATCTTCGACTTCTTTATAGGAGCCCACCAGCGATTGTCAGGTCATTAGACATTCCATTGGTACAACTTTTGGGATCAACAACAATGAACAACCTATTGTCAGAAAGGACAAACAAATTGTTTATTGGTTGATTGTCGTTGAAGGATATGTTAATTCAAAACCTATTTGTCCTCTGTCTAGGTCCACTTACATGTTACCAGATATTTTCTTTTTCCTAATATTCTAAGTCTTTCTCAAATCCTTGTGATACGACCTCGGACTTTCGAGTTATATATTACTTCGCGACAACCTATATTTTGGTTTGCATTCTTAAAGTTATAGCAAGCTTTTTGTGTTGTTGTCAGGGATCTCATTGAAAGACAAGGAGAGCACCGCCATATCTATCGAGGTTTGCTTGGTTTGCGATTCATCGGAGATTCGATAACTTTGTTTTACTTTTAATTTTTGGGTTATTTAATTTTCTATCATTTAAATTTTTGTTCTTTGCCCCCTTCTTTTTAATTTTTGTATGAGTTCTTGGTATCGTGGTTCAAGTGGACACTTAGTTAGGGATGATTTAGAATTACTTTTTGGTGACTTATTTAATTTTCCTGTACAATCTCGTAAGCAATCTCACACACCTCACATAATGGTTGATCTTCCTAATAATAAGAGGAATAATTCTTTTAATCCTGATGATCCCATTGACAGGAGGAGTAATCACGATGAGAACGATGTTGATAATTTAAATATTAATCAAGGTAGAACTTTGTGCGAATATTTGCAATTTGCACGACACACTACACCTTCATACATAAATTTTCATCGGCAGACTACAAATTTTATTTTCAAACCAGGATGATTGCATTACTACCTAAATTTTATGGCTTACATTCTGAAAATCCTTACCTCCATAATAGAAGTATGTGCTACTTTTTATGATCAGACTGTGACTGAAAGCATAGTCAGGTTGAAGATCTTTCCTTTTTCATTAAAGGATAAGGCTAAAACTTGGCCAAACTCTTTGAGACCTAGATCAATTGACACTTGGTAAGAGATGCAAAAAAAAAAAATTTGAAAAGTTTTTTCCCTTACAACGTACCAACACTTTGGAAAAATAAATAATGAATTTTGCATAGCAAGAGCACGCAAAATTTTATCAGTGTTGGAAACATTTTAAAGACCTTCTTGCATCCTACCCACATCATAGCTATGAAAGCTAGAGCATCATCAATTTTTTCTATAAAAGTTTATCACCCTGGATGAGCCAATTTGTTGAGATGATGTGCAATGGTGAGTTGATGGCTAAGGAACTTGATGAAGCCTTTGATTATTTTGATCATTTGACTGAAAATGCATAATCTTGGGGTACTCTATCCCCTAATTCTTCTAAACATAAAAATTTAAATACTTTATCAAGTGGAGGCAATTGTGTTGGTTTCATTAACTACAAATGTTGTGTGTTTATCAAAGGCTTGATTTCTTTCATCACAGTGATGAAAAACAATAGATTGGACCTAAATTGGTTGGTCGAAGACTTCTTAGGTACTTTTTTTGGTGACATGGTTTAATCTATATAATTTTCAAAATACTTCAGTGGATGTACCTAATATATCTAACAAGTACATATAATTCTCAAATATAATCGTAACAAATTAATATACAATAAAAGACACATGAGAATGATAGGTACACAAGATTAAGCTATAGGTACATGCGAATAGCATTTGAACAAAACAAGGGAGAAGCTATCTTCGATGTTATTCATGTTTCTATTACAGGTCCATTACAAAGACCAGAGTACATAGTTTACATGTTTCACTGTGAATTTTATTACAATGAAAACCCTAGTTTACATGAAAAAAGGTTTCTAATCCTGAGGTCGTTTAGGTACATAGGATAGGCACATAGATTGAATGGGAATTTATCTATAGATACATTAGTATAACAGGTACATTACAAAAAAAACAGAGCTAAACAAGATGTCTGCACCAGCTGTGGATTGAATTTTAGTGCATGAAACCCGAATTTCAGTTTACAAAAGATCGAATGGAAGGCATAATGGATTGTGCTAATGCGTAGTTACATTCACAATTTATCTATTTGCGATGGGTTTTTGAGATGGTACCTGTACGACTGAGGGATTTCAAATGTACATAATATCTTCAGTGTTGAATGAAAGAAAGGGTGAGGGAGGTTTTTTGGTGTTTTCCATTTTTTGAATGCTAATGGATGATGATTTTAGATGGAAATTCTTTAGTTTATGTACATATTTTTTGAATTTCAAATAGCGTGGGTTTTAAACATCGCCTCTAATGAACGTATCGTGTGTCGAAAACTATACAGATACACACTCAAGACATGTCTCTACATGTGTGATTTTAGGTACACAAAATTAAATTATCATAGGTACACACATTAAAAACTAAATATTATATTTCATTCATAAAGGGGAGATTACATATGTGGTTTATTTTTTTTATATTTTTTCAACTCTGCCTCAAGCTTCTTAGCCTTCTTCTTCTTATGTTGCAGCTTTTTGCTAAAGGACTTGACCATTTTCTTCCACTCGTCTCTTTGTTTGTTGGATATGCAGAGTTCGAATTCGAGATGGTCGATATTAGCTTGTATGAGATCTTGTTTTGCGTGGGCATTGTCTATGAAACCTAAAAGCATCTATATGTTGTTTGGTGTTCTTTGCTGCCTTTATTGTTCCATTTTTTTTGTGTTTTTGTTCTAAAGTTTAGATACAGTATTTATAGAGGTATTTTCCATGGGGTAGATGAAGAGAAGTCACATCTCAGTGTATCTATTTGCAGAGATGCACTGAATGTAGCTGTTATTAGTAAATGTAACTTAATGTATTTTTACATCTTTGGTTAATGAGTACGTTAATCGAAAACATGTTATATTTTTAGTGTATCTGTCTGACGATTTGTGTTTTTAATAAAAAAATACATTTATGATGACATAGGTTTTTAGAATAAATTTTTAATTACATGATGACATTGTTATTATTTTTTTACAATTTTAAAGGACGTTAGCTTTAACCCTTGCTTTTACTTTTCACCGAAGACTTAATCTAAAAGTAAATTAACAAGAAACTCAAAAAAACTCTTTTGTTTTTGGGCAAATCATATAAATGACCCAGGAACTTTAGTCTTTGTTTTAATTTGTACCCTAAACTTTTAATTTTTTAATGTACCCCCCTAAACAATGTAAATCATTTTAATCAGGTACTTCTATCAAATTCTAGCATTAAATGGGGATGAAACCCTGACATTGGCAGCTGGTGGAGGGCATTTTAGTCCATTGAAGTAATATGTATAGTTGGGTTAAAGAAAGGGCAACAAACCTTTCTACCAAATCTTCTCCCATATCTCTACCAAATCTTTTATCTCCTTTCCAGATATGTATCCCATAGACTCCCACATCCTTTATCTCCATCTCTGATACCCATCCCATACCTAGACTCTGAAATCGTTCATCTATTTCTTAGATCTCTATCCCATATGTACCTAGATTGTTCATGTCTCTCATATCTGTTGATTTGAGTAAACCATAATGACTTGGTTATTGAGGATAATCGATGTTGTCTTCCACCCAAAACAAGTTTATTCTAAGTGTTCTCTTACTCATACATGTAATTTCTGTTTTTTGGTATAACTCATGCCTGTAAATTTGTAGATTGAACAATCAAGCTCAATCCCAGATCCATCATAGGCAACAAGAACAACAACAACAACCTGGTCACAATCATCAACTCATGGTCAATTTTTATTAAGGCCTAGGATATCAACTTATAATCCAAGTATTGTCAAACCATCTTCATCAGAGGAGCATAGGGTTGTAACACCTTATGCATTACACAAAAAAGCTGAAGCAATGAGAAAGAAGAAAAAGGATGCAAGACATTCTACTCAATAACAAACCAGAACGGAGGAACTTTTTTTGTTGTAGAACTGAAGAACTTAAAGTTGCATCCATAAAAGATGTATTGCTTTTTGTAAACTGATGTACTCTTTTTGCAAACTGATATACTCCTTTTATGAACCGATGTACTCATTTTGTTATGACAATATTTGTTGTGAGACATTTGTGGAGAATTCATTTTTTGTAGCATCAATTTTTTTTGTCTCAATCATTGTGAGCATAACAGGGAACATTTCATCCACATTTCAACAACAAAACAATACAACAATACCCATTTCTCCACAAAATTGAACTTTCATTCTCAATTGCTCTTACTAAACTTTTACATATAGTTCAGATTAACCTTCTAAGCTTGTTGATGCTTCTCCACAATGGCAGTAAACATCCATGGCTTCTCTCTCTTGCTCTCTCTCTCCCACAACTACAATTAACTGGACTGAACAAAGCCACTTTTTCTCTTCTATGATGGGTGTAATATACAAAGGAGAATGAGAGGGAGATTTGGGCTCCCTTTTTTCTTTGACCCAACTATACATATTACCTCGTGAGCAAAAAAAAAACAACTATACATATTACTTGAATAGACTAAAATGCCCTCCACCAACTGTCAGCGTTAGGTTTCATCCCTATTTAACACAAAAATTTAACATAAGGACCTGAATTGGACAGAACAAAATGACAAGTGTAGTAGTGTGACAAAACTTCTTGCTTGAAGCCACGGGAAACCTCATTTCTGGTCGGAGTCGCAGCCGGAGACCGGCGATGGCTGCCGCCGCTGGAAAACCCCTCTCCATCGCCACCGGCGCTTCCGCTTCTTCTGCCGTAAAATCCTTTGATTTCTCCGCCGATTCACCGTCGAGACTTATACTCTCGCCCGATCAAATTGGTCGCTGCTCCGAAGCCCTCAGTGTTTTTAAAGACAAAAAGTTCCGAAACCCTGAAGAAATAAACCGTGAGTTTAAGATCTTGCAGGTACTCTCGCTCGCTCGCTCGCTCGCTATATCTCTATGTGGATAGGCGAGACGTTTGTGTTATATTTAAATGTTTTGGTTATATATAGTTTTGAAATAGAACATTTATGTTTGAAGTTACATTAAACTGGAGTTACAAACCATTTTATGGAAGATAGACATTACCTGATAAGTCGGATGATTGAATATTGTTATGCGAGTGGTAAAGAGACATCAAGGTCTGAATACTTTGCCAAATATTTCTAATTTGCATCTCGCAACCAATTTGGGATGACAACTCACACGTGACCCTACCGCATAAGAAAGATGGGATACGTTTGCTTGGAGGGCCGTGGAGGTATTGGATTGTTTGAGGGTGTCAGGGTGGCCTTGGCGCAACAGTAAGTTTGTTCCATTTTGGCAAGGGCGTCAAATGTTCAAGTTATGGAATAGCTTCTCCGCGAGCGGGATAAGACTATATACATCGGGCCCTCCCCAAACCTCGTCGTGGTGAGAATACATGCTCTAGGCCACCCTTTAAAGTTGTTGGATTTTTTATTTGTTGATGATTTACTTGGAAGAAAATGGAGCTGTTCCAAGCTACTGGGACACCTAATTTCATCTCTTTGGCTCTTATTAAGCAGAGATAGAAAAGGGGTGCTCGTCATATCCCAAGACTTATGGGAAGACAACTGGTTTGTAGGCCAGAGTTGAATGGGTTATTGGTGAATTACTAGGACTTTCCCAAATTCATCAAGTACATGAGTTGGACACTTGACTTTTGAGTTGGGTGCGGGATTTGTATTAGACGCTTCCTACTGTACACGCACTTAGCAAGCATATCTAGTGGAATTGTGTTAGTAGTTGTTTTATAATTAGTGTAAGTGTCCATTTTGAAAACTTTCATGGTTCATAGAACATCATTGTATCATATGAAACAAGGGGAAATTGTTTTGTTGCCCCATTGTCCTAGGATTTTTAGAGTAGATGAATCCAATGCTTGAAACCATACCTACACCTGACAGTGTACCCAAACCCATCTAACATTAGATTAGTCTAAAGGGTAAGTTATGATTATATCCTATGTAGATCACACCTTGGTGTTGGCTTCTGGATGGACATATAAGTTCCCAAAATCTCTTGAAAATCTTGTGATGGAATTGGTAGCTTTAAAATTTGGTGCAAACTGCCATCTATATGTAAGTCGTTGGTGTTGCAGATGTATATCTGTTGTGATTGTGATCCTTGGCAAGGAGATATGGGGGCAATGTGGTTGATCTATTGACAAAGGCTTGATCTTAAAAGTCTTAGCAAGGTAATGTGTGAATTGCACCACATTGGCCATTAGGATATTCGTGCTTTCCATCTAAACCGAGTTCTTGTGTCAGAGCCTCTAGATAGACTTTGATCAACTAGCATTGTGCACGCAGACCAGGTGTTATGTAATACTAGGAGCAATAGCACAGTTGTGTGTGAACAATGCTAGTTGATCTAGTCTTCACATCAAAATTTTATAGGCTTTTTTAGATGTGGATGACCCAAAGAATTGTTATTTTTGCGATTTTAATGGGATTTGGAGAGATTTGTGATTTATAGGCTTGTTAGGTAAATTCTTTTTCTTTCTTTATTATTTTTCCCCTTGGTTGGATTTCTTATCCAACATTTTTTATGTATTTGTCAATTTTTATTGATCCAAATGTTTTGTTTTTGATACAAAAACAAAAAAGGTATTGTATTTACATCCATGCTTGGGAAATTAAAGTCTTGCTAGAGAAGGTCACAACTGTTGAGCAGTACCCATATATACAAATTTATGTTCTCTTCGTTGATGTCGTGCATGTGTTTACATTGTTATACAAGGCTGGCCATGATTGGATTTCATACTCTACAAGCCTAACAATGTTTGGATTTCATACTCTACATGGTATGACCGTATGAGATCGTGATTTACGCAGCCATAATAACACTTTTATTGATTTTTAAGAAGGTGTTGCATGTACATAATGGGATGCTAAATTATGATGTGGCATTTTTTGCTTTCATCTTTGACCTTGTTACTCCAAATCAGTTAAGAATCTATTATGTGATAGGTAGTGTAAACTTATGCTTGCACACCGGGATTGTAGATAACCCTAGTGTCCCACAAATAGGGGTTGCATGACCCGAAATGGGGGTGGGTTCTCGATCCAGATTGCTTAAAGTTCCGACCCTAAATTATAACTCAAACTGCAAATTGATTTATGATTTAAGTAATCTCACATCATAACCCCAACCCTAAATCATAACTCTAACTTTTTTTTTATTTTGGCGTTCTTTAAACTCATATTTTGACAACATTTGTCATAAATCTAAAATAAATATTTATTAACAACGCCTACGCACATATATTGTTCTATTTAGAAGTTACAAAATGAATCACAACCCAAAATTGCATGCCAACGCCTACTCCCACCATATCGTATATTGGAAGAAGTAATGTGCTCCGTACCCGTACCACGTGCCAAATCTATCTACAATCCAGGTAAGATTTTGTGCCTATTAGTTTAGTTTGTTACGGTATCTTTTTTATCAGATTATATAGCCTTAGATGTCAGCAATCAACTTCACTGCTCTAATAATTGCCTTTGACTTGGCTTCGTATTGAGGTACCTGGCATTGCTTTAGTAAATGATTGATGATTGAGGGGTGTTAAGAGTATTAGGATAGTAAGTGTAGTTTGTTAATAGTGTTAGGTTATTATGTGTAAATACAAGAGGGTGTATGTGTAATTCTTATTATTATGAGTTAATTATAAATACAAGTGATGAATGAGAGGTAGGTTAAGTTTTTTGACCTCTCTTTGTTTCTCTCTAATATTATGTTAATCCTCTATACTTAACATGATATCAAAGCTCTTACAATCCTAAATATATTTTTTGAATAAATTAACTCTGTTTGTGGTGGTGGTACTGTTGTTCGTCAAAGCTACAGTGGTGGTGGTCTAGTTGTTGTGGTTGATCTGCGTTGCTATGGTAGTGTTGTCGCTAGTGGTGGTGGTGTGGTATTGTTGATCATTGTTCGCCATTGTCTGTGTGTTTGTTGTGGTGGTGTGTGGTACTGTTGATCACTGTTTGCTGTCGTTTGTGTGTTCGTTGTGGTGGTGTGTGGTACTGTTGATCATTGTAGTGCCGTCATGGTGCGGTCATCGTGGTGGTCTGTTGTTTGTTTTGGTGGTCGAGGCGCAATCGAAGACTAGGGTTACATAGTCGAAGACTAGGATATACTACAACCCTAATTGACGAAGAAGAAACGGTCTAGACCCGACCTCACGGGTTTGGATAAAAAACCTGAACTCAAACCCGGTTCAACGGATTTAAATTGTTTTAAGTCCAGCTCAATAAAATTGGGTCCAGCCCATTTCGGTCCAACCCAATTCTGATCCCAGTTCAACGAGTTCCTGTGGTTTAGACCGTTATTGCTTCGGTTCAGTGGTCCATTAAGTTTCTGGGGTCCGGTTCAGATAGTTCTGCACCGGTCCAGACTGGTTCAATCAATTTTCTATTCGGTTCAAGCTTCCAGCAGACTCAGCAAGGCTGATTCAGTCTTCCAGCAGCCTTAGCAAGGCCGGTTCAGTGGTTCTCTAGCCTCAGCAGGGCCAGTTCAGTGGTCCAAAGGGCTTAACCAGTTCGGTTCAGTAGTTCTCTAGCCCAGTTCAACCTTCCAGTAGCCTCCTTTCCTCTGGTTCAGCATTGCAACACTTCTTATTTCCTATTTGCCGCACTTTTATGGAACCTAAGCAAGATACCAGGGATCCTACTCCATCTTTGTCACCTACCTCTACTCCTCCAACACTTATCAATGGTCCCATTACCTCTATTAAACTCAATGAGACTAATTATATTTTATGGTCCAGACCCGTTCAAGTTTTTCTTCGAGGCAAAGGATTTAAGAAATATTTGGTGAATCCTAAACCCAAGGAAGATACTCCTAGGTATGATCAGTGGGAACAAGAGGATGCTCAAATTATTTTTTTACTACTGAATAGCATTGAGCCTAGTATTAGTTCTATTCTGTTCTACCTTGACACTTCCAAGGAGATATGAGATCATTTGGCTACTATGTATTTTGGTACAAGTAATTTTACCCGAGCTTATGAGGTGTGCAAGGAATACTTTCAGCTGGAACAGAGTACTCTGAACATTGAGGATTATTACTCTCACGTTTGGGGAGTCTGTGAGGAGATGAAGACCTATCATCTGTTTACTACTGATACAGCAGTTTGACAGAAATAACATGAGGACATGAATGTTGTTAGGTTTTTGGTAGGATTGAAACTTGAATATGAGATTATTCGTTCTCAAATTTTGGGTGGTTCTAATCTTTCCTCACTACTTGAGGTTTTCACTCGTATACAGCGTGCTACTTTGTCTACTTCAGGTATCAATCATGGTGTTTTCACTGATCGCTCAACTCTTGTGGTTCCTAATAGCCATAGTGATGGTCATTGAGGTGGTCGTGGTAGTGGTGTTCGAGGAGGCCGTACAAGAGGTTGTACTCGTGGTCGTGGGGGCCGTAGTGGACCTCGTTCCTATACTCACTGTGGTCGTGGAGAGCATATTGTTGATTTCTGTTGGGATTTATATGGAAAACCTTCTGGTACTGCGAATCGGGTTTCCTATCAGGATGACACCTCTGTTGTTTCCTCCATATCTCGATCAGCTCCACCAGACACTGGGTCAATTACTATTACACGAGAGGAGTATGCTCAGTTCCTGTTTGAGCAACAGGCTATTTTATCACTCTTCATTGTTACTTTGGCCTAGTCAGGTACTACTTCCACTTATTTATTGTTCTCCACTCGCAGTCCTTGGATTATAAACTCTAGCGCCTCTAACCATATAACTGGTGTGTCTAATGTCTTTTCTACTTATCAGTCTGCTATTTTCACACGTAGTGTTACTCTTGCTAATGGTACTTGTTCTAAAGTTTCAGGTCTAGGGACTACTCACTTGAGTCCTGATATGTCCCTATCTTCCGTGTTATTTGTTCCTCAGTTTCTTTTTAGTTTACTTTCCATTAGCAAGATTATCCGTTTTCTCAATTGTTTTGTAATCTTTTATCCCTCTTATTGTGTCTTTCAGGATCTCAAGACGAAGAGAAAGATTGGTATGGGGCATGAAGCTGGTGGCCTATATTACTTTGATTTTGATTCACCTACTCGGGCTTTATAGACCTCGTTGTCTCATTTTCAATGATATTGTTGTCTTGGACATCCCTCTCTCCAGAATCTGAAGCGCCAAGTTTTCAATCTGAGTTGTGTGTCGTCTTTTTCTTGTGAAGCTTGTCAACTTAGTAAGTATCACCGTGTGTCATTTTAGTCTTAGTCAATAATCGTGTGTCTAGTCTATTTGAGTTGATCCATTTTAATGTATGGGGTCCAATAAAGAATATTTTATCTAATAAATATTCTTATTTTGTGATATTTGTGGATGACTATTCTCGTATGACTTGATTATTTTTGATGAAAGTTCAGTCTGAATTATTTTCTATATTTGAGATCTTTCGTAAGGAAATAAAAACTCAGTATGGTTGTCTTATACATATTTTATGTTCTGATAATGCTCGGGAATTTGAATCTGATCATTTTTCAGCTTACCTTAGTAAAACAGACATTATTCATCAGATTTTCTGTGTTTATACCTCCCCACAAATGGTGTTGCTGAACGCAAGAACTGTCATTTGTTGGAAGTTACCCGTGCTTTGTTATTCCAGATGCATATTCCCTGATATTTTTAGAGTGATACTGTTCTTATTGCTTGTCACCTTATTAATCGTGTGTCATCCTCTGTGTTAAATGGGCAAAGTCCATATTTTGTTCTTTTTCCTAGTAAACCCTTATTTTTCCTAACTCTTAAGGTTTTTGGATGTGTCTGTTATGTTCACAATTTGGGTCCTAAGTTTGATAAACTTGACCCTTAAACTACCAAATATGTATTTCTTGGTTACTCCCGCGCACAGAAGGGGTATCGTTGTTACAGTCCTTCTCTGCGATGATACTTTACTAGTGTCGTTGTCACGTTTGAGAAATCTGTTCCATATTTTTTAGCACCTTTTCAGCCTCTGGACCTGGACTTTGGGTCTTCTCTTGTACCACCATCTCTTCCCTCATCTTCCGATATTCCGCTACCCACTGTGTTACCATCTACTTTACCCTTTCGTGTATAATCTCGTCGTCCTCGTCCTCGTCCATCGACTGAGGTGCTCGTATTGTCTTCCTTACCGCCTTTTGATCCTGGTGCATTTGGTAATTTAGACTCTCTACCTATTGCTCTTCGAAAAGGTACTCGTTCGTGTGTTACTAATCATTCTATTGCTCATTTTGTTTTATATGATGCCTTGTCTCCTATCTTCTCTTGTTTTACTTTTTAATTATGTACTATATCTATTCCTAAGCATTTATAGGATGCGTTATCTGATCCTAGTTGGGGGAAAGTTATGGAGGATGAGATGGATGCCTTACATCATAATAGGACTTGGGATCTCGTTCCTTTACCGTCTAGTAAACAAATTGTTGGTTGTCGTTGAGTGTATACTGTTAAATTTCATCCGGATGATTTTGTGGAGCGTCTCAAAGCCCGACTTGTTGAAGGGCTTTACTTAGACCTATGGTGTTGATTATGAGGAGATTTTCTCTCTAGTTGCCAAAATTTTCTCTATTCGTATCTTGATTTCTTTGGTTGCTAATCTTGATTGGCCTTTGTTTCAGTTAGACGTCAAGAATGTCTTTCTACATGGTGACTTGGTTGAAGAGGTATACATGGAGTAGCCACCTGAGTTTACTACTCTGGGGGAGTATGGTAAAAGTGCATGTCGGTTAAAGAAATCTTTGTATGGTTTGAAGCAGTCACCGAGGACATGATTTGGTAAGTTTTCAGATGCAGTTTTAGAGTTTGGTCTTCTTTGATGTCAGACAGACCATTCTGTACAGACGAATGCTGGATATGTTCTATTGGTAGTTTATGTAGAGGATATTGTGATTATTGGAAATGATTCTGATGGGATTGTCAAGTTAAAAATTTTCTTGCAAGATCGATTTAATACTAAGGATTTGGAAAAATTCAAGTATTTCTTGGGTATTGAGGTGACTTGATCTAAATAGGATATTTGTTTATTCCAGAGAAAATATGTACTTGACATGCTAGAGGAAGCAGGTTTGTTGGGTGGCAGACCGATTGATGTTCCTATGGATCTGAATCAGAAACTATTAATAGATGATGGTGCATTGTTTGAGAATCCGGGTCAGTATCTCAGATTGGTTGGGAAGCTCAATTATCTAACTATTATTCGACTGGATATTTCATATGTAGTCAGTATAGTAAGTCAGTTTATGGGGTGTCCTAGAGTATCACATTGGGAGGCAGTTACTCGTATTCTGCGATATTTCAAACGTGCTCTTTGACATTGGGAGGCAGTTACTCGTGCTCTTTGACTTGGATTGTTATATCAAGTTAATGGATATCTTAGAGTAGAAGATTTCTTAGATGTTGATTGGGCTAGCTCTCCTTCTGATTGGAGATCAACCACTGATTATTGTACTTTTTTAGGAGATAACGTTGTCTCATAGAAAAGTAAGAAACAATCCATAGTAGCAAGATTCAGTATTGAGGTTGAGTATAGGGCAATGACGCATAAGACAAGTGAGTTAACTTGATTACTACACTTTCTCCAGGAATTGGATTTTCAATTCAACCTCCTTTACAGTTGTTCTATGACAACTAGACAGCTATCCATATCGCTGCCAATCCAGTGTTTTACGAGAGAACTAAATATATTGAGGGTAATTGTCACTTTATTCGGGATAAAATAGTAGCTAGAGAGATTACGATTCCATTTGTGAAATCTGAAGATCAGTTTGCAAATATGTTGACCAAAGTATTGAGTCGTACACGTCTTACAGTGATTTGTTCAAAGTTTGGATTATATGATATATATAGTCCAGCTTGAGAGGGAGTGTGAAGAGTATTATGGTAGTAAGTTTAGTTTGTTAATAGTGTTAGGATATTATGTGTAAATACAAGAGGGTGTATGTGTAATTCTTATTATTGTAAGTTAGCTATAAATACAAGGGATGAATGAGAGGTAGGTTAAGTTTTTTGACCCCTCTCTGTTTCTCTCTAATATTATGTTAATCCTCTACACTTAACAAAGGGAAGTTAAATAAGAAATGAATGAGTAGCTAGATGTGGCATTGGTTAAGGATGAAAGAAACCGATTCCAAGTGATTTAATCATGTACAACAGAAACTTTTTTTCCTTCTTGTTCTCGTTTCCCTTTTCTTTTAAAGTATCCTACAAGGTCTGATCAGTTAATGGACCCAAAAACTTGTGGAGAGTAAAACTGTAGGTTGTTTCCACAAAGCTTTCTGCCACTCACGAGAAATATACTTTGCACCAAGCAATTACTCCAAATTTTGATTTCTGACTCAGCAAACTTGCGCAAAGATGGGAGAATACCAATAACCAAATACTTGCCAACCAGTAAACCTATATTAAGATGAAATTTTATAATAACCTTATAAGTTACAACTTTCCCAAGGAAAATGTGATTGTTTCATACCAAAAAGTCTGAGCCATTTCTTTCAGCCTAATAAGGAACTATTGGAACTTGATGTCTCCGGTAGCTAGGTGTGGGAGAAGTTTTGGTGTGCACTATATTTCCCTCCTCTTACCATCGGCCACCACATGTGATACTTTCAGACAATCCTTGCGCCAGTTGGCAGTACAATGGGAACTTTTGAAAATAAAACTGCAAAGAGAAGTAAGCGAAAATATAGATTGAGTTAATGAGTACGCAACATTGTGCGTGCATACCCTCCAGCATGGGTCAAAGCAAACCTGACCTGCCAGACTGACATTTTGGGACCCATATGGACACGTTTGTCCTAATTCATTCTTTCTTGGGATTCAGCCATACACTTCAAAATGGAGCTCCATGAAAATCCTTGGTTAAAAGAACTTGAATTCTGAGTTGGAAGCTTGTTCCAAGTTTTAAAGGTTTGGTATCACATTGATTGCTTGAGGGAGATATAGGGGCTGACTGCATGCAGGCCTTTTTGTTTACATTGCATTCTTGTGCTATGCTACACTTAGTAGTCTCTTCTTTTCCACTGCATATCATGTACGAGGATCCATTACTTCGTGCTTTTATTGCTGAAATAATGACAAATTGTAAAAGTCTCGGTGAATGTTTGAGATTAATTGGTGTGGCCTATGATCCTTTGGAGATGTTGGCTCAGGGTCTGTTGGGTAGTTTTTAAGATATCAATCTTTAAGTCTGGCCAAATACAGAATTTTTCTACATCCTTGCTATAGTTTATCCACTTTGATTGTGTAGAGGCATTGTTTAAGACTTGAAAAGATGAGATTCAATTGGCTTCTATTTTGCTCCCACACCCCACCCCTTCCCTCCTCTTGTGCGGGGAGATTTGTGGATTTTTAGGAGCTTGCAGGGTAAGTTGCATGTAGATTATGCAGTTACTTTGTGTTTGGCACAGACAATTTTGTTTTGTTTGCTTATCTTTCATTTTGGCTTTTACCTTGTATACCCTGTGTAAGTGGGCTTTGCCTGTTGGTGCCTGTAGTGTTTCTTTTTTTTTCATTCTGTCAGCAATAAAAAATGAAAGAAATGTTTTCTCACAGCTATGATGTCAATTAAACCTCTGTCGTGCAGCTCCCGTCCCATGACCATTTATGGAAGAGCTGTTGAAGGTCACCAAATAAAAGATTGTAAACTATTTAGCCTTTTCCTTTGTTGGTAGTGAAATCTGTCTAGTCTCATCATTTTCAGTTGGACTGTTTTGATGTGCCTCTTTGTACATATAATACTTCTAATCTCAATTTGTTCCTCTTACTTTTGCACAGTTGCTTACTTTTGACCATTTTGCATCACAGACCTTTGTACACACTGTGTAGGATAGTTCATCTTTTACAATCAACATTGTTCTGGACACAACTTTGTCATTTTCCTTTAGACAGTGCAAAAAAATTGCATTGGGATTCCTGTTTCATCTTGTAGCTTTTTTTTTTTTTTGCATGTGTAGGACTAGGTCTTCAATGGTCTATGAACTTGTTCTTTCTGCCTCAATACCTTTATCTTCATTACCATTGCAAAATCTAATTATCCTGGATTGCAGGCCGGTAGGATGAAAGCGGTTGATATGAGGAACAGATGCTCTGTGGCTCTTGACAGCGTTAATTATTGCAAAAATCGTTATACAGATGTCATACCATGTATGCCAATCCAGTTCTTTTCCTTTTCTGGAATGTTTAATTTCTGATGCTCTTTTGATGGTAAATACTTATATTGAACTACATCAATCTCAGTTGACAAAAACAGGGTGGTTCTGAACCCATGTAAGGATTATCGATCATCAGCGAGGGGATATATCAATGCAAGCTTTATCACGGTAAAAGACTATATCCTTCACCAAGCATCATTTTACAGAGCCAACCTAACTCATACTTATGCTTGAAAATCTTGTGGTATATGGATCCATTTTCCTGTTTGACCCCAGTTAGGAATCCCTATTTTGATTGTAGACTTCTGAAAGCGTTTCTCAGTTTATAGCCACACAAGGTCCATTGCCACACACATTTGAAGACTTCTGGGAAATGATAATTCAGAATCGCTGCCCGGTTATCGTAATGCTTACTCGGTTGATCGACAATTACAAGGTACTCAACTGCATAGAATTCAAGGTAATTTTTGTAGTTTTCTCTGATGTGCATAATTTTTGTGGTTTCCATCATAAGAACCAGCAGTATTTGTACTTTATTACCTCATCTTTTCTACGGTTTGACAAGAAGACTTATTTTACCAAGTGTTATCACAAAACACAATGGCAATTCTCATAAAATTGATTCTATTAAATTAATGGGATTCCAAATATATTTAAAGGTGAAAAGACTATTACTTCTGTAAGAATTGGGATTCAAAACTCAAAAACTAGAAACTTTGGCAACAAAAAAATATTCTAGACCATCTGGGCTCAACATAAATTAGGGTGAATTTCGTGTGGACCTCCTGTAATTAGGTCAAATGACACGAGCACTCCTGTCATTCCAAAAATGACATAACAACGCGGACTAGTGTTAAAATTGGGTTAACATTAATGGAGTTGGTAAAATGCCAATTTTGACATTACTTCATTTGGAGAAAAAATAAAATAAAATACTAGATCCAGAACTGGACACAAACTCGGACAGAAATTGAGTCGACAATTCTCCTTTACCTCTTTTCCCCACCCCACCTGCAGAAGCGTCCACCTCCCACTCCTGCATCAATAGCCCTCCTGACCCCACCCCTACCCGTTGCCTCCCTCCAGTGCAGAACAACCACCATCGGCCACCACCCGAACAAGTCTTCCGCCCTTTCCCTGAAGAACACTGAATACTGATGGATACAGAATGAGGTTGAACTTCTTTCGCTATTGGCAATTACAAAGAAATAGGTATGTGAAGTGAATTTTGAACCCATCACTTTCTCTCTATATTCATGTTGCCGCAAGAGCTGACATAAAGTGAGTTTTAAATTCAATTTTTGGTTCTTGTCGCAGTGGGAGTTTCAATGGTGGGGTTTTGTGGAGGTGGAGGTGGAGGTGGAGGTGGTTGGGACAGCCTGTGCTGTTGTGTTGAGTTGCGATGGATTAGTAGAGAAATGGATGATGAAAATCTCTCTTTAGGCTGATCTCTGCTTTGAAGTTTCTGTGCGTGTTTGGATGGTGAGATTGTCGTACATCAGCAGGAGAAGGGGCTATGGGTCTGCTGGGGATAGGACACCAGTAGGAAAGTGGTGGCGGTCTTTGTGTGGCAGTAGTGGTCTTCATGTGACAACTGAAAGTGTGCCAAGGCGGTGGCTGTGGCTGTGGCCAGTGGTTGATGAGTTGTGATGGTGGCTGTGGGTGGTTACCTAAATTTGATAATGAAATTTGTCGTCCAAATCTCAGGTGTATGCAATTAATTTTATAACTGGTATGATATTGGATAATTATTTACCAAAAATTAAAATCAATATGATGTGTAATTGAATAGTTAATTAAAAAAAATGGAATTAATATGATGTAACTGAATATTAAAACTATGATTTAGGTTGTGTGATTGAATAATTACTTTTCAAATTATAGTTGGGAGAGAAGAGAAGTGGGATTAATTACTCAACTTTTAATTAATACAATTTAGTTAAATTGTTATTCAAAATTGTAATTTAGTTTGAAGGAGTGAAAGGTGATTCCAGAAATACAATATTTTTAGGACTGTGGGTAGCATTTTTTTGTTAGGGTTACCAATGTCTATGGGACGGAGGGGGCCTTTATATAACGTGCAACAAATGTCGAAAGGTTTTCGTGCCAATTTTGGGAATGCCAGGGGATTGCCATGCAACTTGACTTAAGGTCAGGGGATCCATGTGAAATGTACCAATAAAATTATGATATACATGACTAGATCCACTTAATGACCAGTTGACTATTACCACGCCTTATGTCAATATTAAAACATCCCAAATATCCTTGATGCTAAAAACTGTTACATATATCTTTATAAAGACTCTATAGCCAGGCAGCCAATTGTGCATCAATTATTTTCTATTGAAAAGACCTCCAACTCTTGCAAGTTACGAGCAGCTCCAAGGATATCTTAAGAAGCACATATATGGATGCAGGACACTATACAACTTGACATAGACATGCCGGGAAAATGCTACAAATAAATTTTTTATAGAATCTATGACTATGTATTGACATAGCTATAATTTTATATAATATATTAAAATAAGTACTTTTACTTCGCAAAAAAGTAATAATTTATCATAAGTAAATCTTATTTCTAATCCTCTAGTCCGAATTTTTAGTCTAATGGATCATATTGATCAATAATTAATGATTTTTATGGAGAAAGCTAAGCAATCACGTATAGTTATGATGATTGATCTCATCTTCTCACCTCCTCTTTTTTAGCGAAAATTTGATGTATATTTTGTTTTTAGTAGAAAATTTCAAATAAAATTTTGAAATATGATTATTCTTTCCTAGAATAAGGAAGTTATGTTTCAAAATCTTCAAGTTTTCCCAATTAAATATCGATACATCTGTATATTGTAGTTGTTGACATTGCCAGAAAGAAGTGTCATCACCATAGGAGTGTCGGACATGTGTCTCATGAAATCGAGATATTTTTCTTTAAATAATAGTCACTTCTGATAGAGTATTGGTCATGTGTCTAAGAGTTTTCGAAAAGCATAGGTATCCAGCATGGATACATCGCCTTCTTATGAGTGTCCGTGCTTCTTGGGGTGGAAAAGTTTTTCAGATCATAATGAACTTTTTTTCAACTTCAGTGCTTGCATGTCTGTGGCCAAAGTAAGAGTCCACTTGTTATTGCGATCAAAGAATGGATAGACTGTGGCACACCTAGTATGATGTGCACCTCGATCTCATGTCCATGTTCTGCCTAAGTGCATATAACAAAACTTTAGTGGTAAAATATCAAAATAACTGCCTCCTAAAGCTTTCTAGTGTTGAATGTCACCCTCTTATCAAAAAAGTGTTGAATGTCACCCGACATTAATTATCAATCTTCAACTTCTTATTTCTGGTCCATTCCACATGATATGGCCTGGGATGTGGCTCAACCTTTAGTTCTTGTTCCTTATCTGCTTCCTTTGACGCAACATTAAGTATGATTGCAGTGTCAATTAATAAGAAATATCCTTGTCCTCCAAAATTCCCTCTTGTTTGAAAGATTTTCACTTTATGATATAGTTCATCACTTTCTTGATTACTTGCTTGATAGAGAAAAGAAAAGGACGAATAACACATGTACAATGATCATCTAAATAGTCAAAATCCGCTTCAAATTATCACAAAGAGGACACAAATCTCATTTTCAACTTGTGACTCTTTAGATCTTTGAAATTGTCTAGAGTTGTTTCTTTTCCACCGTCACAACTGTTTTAGGACCTAGGCATTGGAAATGGAAAGAATGATGACTAATACCTTGACACTTAAAAGCATCTTGACTTAGCATAATGATTTGAATTGTGACTCCCTCTAGATGAAAAATAAATGCTAGGACTAGATAGCTGAGTGGGAACATGAAAACTTTCTCTGCATTTGTCATTGGAATTCGACTTCGATCCACAAAAACTCTTTTCACTCTGATTTGAGTTGTCTGATGAACAGGGACAGACCAGCAGAGCCACACGTTGTGCTGTTGAATTTTTTTGTGCAAAGATGGTTTTATATGTGTTCAAACACATTTCTAAATTTGACCCCTCAAAATAGTTATCATGTACCTAGTCTTTTTAGTCATCCCTCACAATTAGATTTAGTTCCTAAGCTTGCAATAAGTAAACTGAATTAATATTTATTTAGTTGAATCCCATAACATGTTTTTCAAGTATATTCTTCATGTCTCCCTACATTTCACTCCCTCTTTCTTGTCATTGTTAATTTCAATATATCTATACTACTAATAAAAGGAAGCTAATGAGAAAAACTTTTGATTTCCTATTTTACCCCTTCTTAATCATACAAAGGCAACTATATCCTACGTACCACTTTAACTCTTATGGCCTTCCCTTTCTAAGAATAATTATTTGTAATTATAAGTGCAATGAATACATAAACATTATATATACGAAGACCTTTCATATTCGTAACACTAGAGAAAATTAAAAAACAATATAAGAATAACATGCTCTCCCTCCAAATTCTCACTTACCACAAGTAGAGAAATCTTATCTCTTTAAATAATAGAAGCTATTGGTATTTTTATTTTTCTCTATCACGTTCATAGCTCCTTTCATTTCTGTGTTTTGTTTTTATTTTTTTTTTCTTTGTAAGTTGTCATCAATCTTATGAAAGTAAGACTATAAACGATATTGAAGATGATGAACTCAAAGATGATGAACTCAAAGTGCAATAATTCTTGATTGTTTATATGATCCTTTTTTTTTTATCAGTACTATCAACTACTGCTTTGATGATTTAATATGAGTGTAATCTAGGACTTTAAGAGAATGTGATCTGTTTTATTCACTATTTAGATTCAATTTTTTTTATTTATTTACTTCTCAATTTTAATTTAGAAATTTGATTTGCCATGGTCTTGGTGCATGAGATTAATTTTTTCAACTATACACAAATTCTACTTATTAATTAGATTTTTATTCACTTCCATCGAGTTTTAATTCATTTTTTGGTCTTCAATTGTCAAATATTTATTGTAAGATTGTAATTTTTTCCAATCCAAAGTCAATATTCTTGATGAGAATTCTTCGAAGTGTTGCTCACACCATGGTAGAAGTAAAATATTTGAAATATAAATTTTATAAACAACTAATAAGTAATCAAATCAATGACCTGATACCTTTCTTTTACATTTTGTCTGTTTTACTTTCTAACCTCACACTTATTTTATGTATACATAAAACTACAAGTATAGAGATAATGCGAGTAAAAATTAAAAAATAAAAAATAAAATTATAATTCAAAATAGTTCACGTACAACGTATGTGGGCACCAACTAGTTGAAAAAAATATTTTTAATGGAATTGAAATAATATTCTCAAGTAATATTTTCAAAATATAAAAACTAGTTGGAAAAAATTTTAATTTACCAATTATTATTTGGGCTACCGTTTCATAAGTAAAAAAATTAATTTCATCATTAAATTAAAAACACATTTGATCATTCTATAATAAAATTATTTATATGGTTTGTCTTATGAAATACATGCATATAAACATATAATTAAGCTTGAAAGAATATAACAAGTTCATCAAATAAAAAATAAAAAAAGTACAAAAAAATAAATAGTACTTCAATTTTTTTTAAAAAGTACTAAAAATATGTTC